GGCATTATGCCTCCATTCATCTTCATATAGGGTCTCAGATTCAACAAGAATGCCTATATCAAATGCCAAGAGAAGGTAGTGTTGCCTTGGGTCAAGAGGTTGGCTGCTAGAAGAACCTATATCTGACAACAGGACTCTGCACCATTCCATAGAAGCTGGTGAACCTAGTCATGGCTGTCAGATAATTTCTACGACCATATCACCCCTTAAATCTGGCCTCCAATCTCCACTACAATGCCATTAATTATTATGTGTGGGCTGCAGTTGAGCGAGAAACCAACACAACTTGTAACACCAAAGATGAACTAAAGGCAATGATTATGGCTGAATTCACCAACTTGAAGGAGAATGTCCAGAAGGACTGCAGAAGATTCCGAAGTCGTCTGGAGGCGTTGATTGAAACCAATGGCGATTTTATGGAATAAATTTGCTCTTTAGTATTGTAATTTTGGTAAAAAATATCTCTTATAATGTGATGTCAGTGTTTTTTAATCTGTGTGATTTAGGCGACAATTTATTCATTGTACCCTGTATATATATATATATATATATATATATATATATATATATATATATATATATATATATATGATACTTCTCGTATTATTTTATCGATATTTAAAATAATTCTTTTATGATCAAATCTAGATATCAATTTTGTAATTAATTAAATTGATTTTGCGTTCTTATTAAAAACGGACGCGATAACACTCCAACATATTATTCTGCTGGTGCGGGTGACGTAACGTCTGACGTCATGAAGAGTGGCATCGGCGAACAGAAATCAAACATCATCTGGAATGGTTTACAATCAAGTTTTTTTTACAGAGTACGAAAAATGTGACACGGAAAACTGGAGGCACATTGAAATATGGAAACATATCTTCCAAATTCTAAGCAAAGTATTACGAAGCGGAATCATTTTGTTAAAAACCAAGAAAAGACTGTTGAATAGACATCCTATATGAAAGTGAATGTTGAAGAATCACCTCACAGGTAAAAAGGAGACCTGAAACAACAGAAATGTGTTTCTACGGAATGGTACTGAGAAGGAAAATGTGAGTAATGGAGAAGTTTTAAGAATATATTATAGAATTAAACAATATGCTTCTGCCTTGAATCAGAAAGAAACATTTGAAATTTCTGGGACATATAATGTGTAAAGCGGTGCTGGAGAGTTTAACACTCACAGGGCATATTGAAGGCAATTGGACAGAGGGTAAGAGCGACTAACAAGCTTGTGTGAATGGATAGAAGAAGAGAGACTACAAATGGCGCTGAAAATACAAAACATATTAATCGTTACAAAAGATAATAAGTTGTGAAGAGGCATGTTCAACCATGTCCTGAAGAGACAAGACACATATTATAAGAAGAGAATCCATCATAGGATTCGAGCTAGCACCCTGGCCTGGAAAATCTCTTACTACTGAAACCGAAACGTGATTTATTTAATAGACTTTACCTCTCTAGTTGTCTTCTGGAATTATATTGTGTTGGCACAATTAAGTATAGAAAGTGCCATCATCACTAGATCATCTACAGTAAATTTGCAACCAGGTTCTTTCACCTTTGTTGGCAGATCTTCTATAATCACAATGTGGGTTATTTAACAAGTGTTAAAAACAGGGAAAAGGAAAAAAAAACTAAATGAAAGTGACTAGACCCTATACCAAACTCACATTTAAAAAGTTAAATTTAAAATTCCAGTGTCCTCTTTCCTTCGAGAGCATGTGTTTACATCAACGTAAACATCATTTTTGTTCGAGGAAGTCCTAAAGTACAAAACGCATCACACGAAAAAACATTACAATTTGTGATTAATTTTCCTAAAATTATATATATATATATATATATATATATATATATATATATATATATATATATATATATATATATATATATATATATATACTGAGAGTACAATGTGAAGCTTTGATAGTGCTGACAACTACGAACTCATAGGTATATATTTACTAAACGAACTAAGTAAAATAATAAATAGAGATGGCACAGGACTCTAGAGGACGACGGTCTCATAATCTTAAATACCTATACCAAAAAAAAAAAAAACAGACAAAACTAGAAAAGTAATAATAAAATTTTCAAAAATATGGGATTAGATATAGAAATATAATCTAACCTAATTTATAGCCATCTATAATCAAGCAAATATCAAAATCAATTAAACGCAGGCTTTACGACAATTCTTCCTGGGAAACCATATTCAACTAAGCTAAGAAGTACTATGAAACAGCCCTAAATGATAGTCGATTCCCGGCAACGCTCACATACTCTCCATAGAGGACAAAAAAGCCAACAGGAAGACAAACATCATATGGTTCACTCCACCGTACAACAAAAACGTAAAAACAAATGTAGAAAAATATTTTTACCCAAACATTTCGCCGAATCAAGCACTCTCCACAATAATATTCAATAAAACACAGTAAAAATCAGCTACAGTTGCCCGGAGAATATGGCACAAATAATAAGAATGAGCACAACATGAAAAATATCAACAAAGCATCCGAACAAACTAAACCCACGTGTAACTTCAGAATAAAGTACGAACGTAATATACGAAGCCACGGTAAAATTATCAAATGTAGAAGAAACAATATACTTAGGAGTAACTAAAGGACCTTGGAAAGAAAGAAATTACGCATAGAAAACATTTTTCACAAATAATAAATAAGCGAAGAGCAGAATGTATTGCAAGTATATCTAGGGAATTAAAACAAAAGCAAATCACATCAAAAATATCATGGAAAATAAATTTAAAAATAATCAGCCTACAACAATCAATCCAGCTTAGAGGAAAAAATAGCTATTATTACCTTCCCAGACCAAAACAAACTACTAAATAAACAATCAGAATTCATCTCAAATTGCTGAAACGAAAACAAATAAAATAAAAATATATAAGCAAAAACAATTAAAATAAATTAATCCAAATAAAGTAAATATTAAACAAATTAACGAACTACTTCCGCCAAAATGACCGTTAGAATAGACTACCTATTATGTAACAGACTACCCACAATGCATCACTGACACGTATATATAAACAGTCGAGAAAAACACGTATGTGGCCTGACGATTGGAATAAAACAGTCCGTCGCATCTAAGTGTTGATATGAATGGTCACCTTTATATTTACATACTCTCTATCTCTGATATTGAGCACTTTAGCCCATAAATATAGCATACCTTAAAACTATATTTCTTCATATATATATATATATATATATATATATATATATATATATATATATGTATATATTATATTATATTACAAAGAGTTAATCATACCTTGAATCAATTAGTAATATTCAAGGTATGATTAACTTTTGTAATATAAAATATATGCTGCATATTTTATTATGTTCATATATATATATATATATATATATATATATATATATATATATATATATATATAATGGAGTACTATCTATCCATTTTTATAATCTTTTTCTAATTTCCGTATTAATTATTTTATACAATCGGTAAATTTACCAAGAATCATTTTTCACCGGCACTCAATATATAAATGACGTCACCTCCATTGACTTGAAATCAGTTCGAGCATATGGAGGAACGCCAGAACTAACCAAGAACATTTATACTCATATACACATATCGAAATCCTTGAAAACGAATATAGCAACATTGGAAAATACTCGGAAAAAATAAAAATTAAATTGGTAAATTTACTGATTATATAAAAGAACTTATTGAGAAATTTGAAAATGTTAATAATAAATTCGATAGAGAGAATTTGTCAATCTCATTAAACAAAACATGTCAGAAAGAATTACTGCTGACAAAGTGCAATATATTTTTAATTTCGCTCATGCGTGTTGTTTGTTTTTGTCGACTGCACAGTATAGTAGGGTCAGTTGGGCACCGTCTGTAAGAAAAAGAGCACCATGATGCAATTAACTGCGCCAGAAATTTGGAAACGGCATGCTGTACTGCTTGGCATTCTCTCCGGAAGCTTCAATACGAATATTTTAGAGTGTTTGGGTGTCAATCTGAGGACAGTGCAGAGGACACGGAAAGAGTTGGATGAGTCTAATGCTATGGTCGCTCGAAAAACTCACACTGATGGTTTTCTCGGATTTGTTGGCGGGGGCATCAGACTCAAGACAGAGGCCAACATCAAATGCCTTGATGAGATAGTGCTACCCAGGGGCAAGAGGGTGGTTGCTGTAAGATCCTATGTCTGGCACAAGGATAGCGAACCCAGTTATGGTTAACACAGTTTCCATCTTGCTATCTAAATCCCAAGACTACAACACCCTTGATTATTATGTGTGGGGCGCAGTATAGTTCAAGATCAATAAAAGTCCTTGTAAGACCAAAGATGAACTGAAGTCAAAGATTATGGCAGCATTCACCAACATAAACAAGGAGACCGTCCAGAAGAGATACAAGAGATTCCGTAGTCGGTCTGGAGCCGTGCTCGAAGCCAATGTCGATTTTACTGAATAAATTTCTTCTTTACTATTTCAAGATATTTTTGTGTAATTTTGGAAAATATATCTGTTAAAATGAGTTATTCTCCGTTTTGTGTAATTGAGACAATTTATCTATCGCTCTCAATATATATATATATATATATATATATATGTGTGTGTGTGTGTGTGTGTGTGTGTGTGTGTTTGTAGTTGCCTACGATATCATTCATTCTTTATATAAAATCGTTTATTTAATCATTTCGATTCCACAATACTGGGGTTACAACAGGCTAGCTAGGTGTAGTACATAATCTCTTAGCACTTCCCCAAATATGAACTTGTGTCAGACTACGCGAAGCGTATTAAATAATCTCATATGTGCCCATAACTATCGTTGTGCTTATTCGCTGGGAATGAAGAGACGTATTTTCTGCCCTTTCTCAGGTCTACTTCCACTGAGAGTTCTCTCCACTTAGCCCTTTCACAAATTGAATTTACGCGCAAATCTTAAAGGTGGTTGAAGTTTCTCAGGGCTTAACCGCATGAACAGAGGAAAGAACGATGGTTTCTGTGAACGCAGTGGCGTAGTGCCTGGCTAGGTGCGTAGCCAGGGCAGATCGAATTTATGAAAGCGATCAGAGGGCAAAGAGGTTCGGGCTGAAGAGAAGAGTCTGTGGCATCGGCAGGGTCAATCCGATAATAACACGTGGAAGCCTGTCCATATGGTTTCCTCTTCCGTTTCAGCAGACACGGAATCGGTTGTGAGGTTGGGCGTTGAGTTTGTCGGGGTGAGGAGACAGTCCGTTTAGAGGTGGTTAGAAAGGAGAGAAAGAAAGCGGGAAGACAGAAAGAGTGTGTAAAGGCATAAGCAAAAGAAATAATCGATGCACTAAAAACGAAGGAACGTGTAAGAAAAAGAAAATGAAAAAGTAGAAGAGAAGAAGAAACGAGAAGGAAGAGAATAAATAAATACAACGATAACAAAAAATGGTAGTTGGGCGGTAAAGATAAAAGACTAACGGTGGGCGGAACGTGTTCTTCCCAGATTTTCTTGGGGAGAAAGTAATCCACCACAAAATAATAATAATAATAATAATAATAATAATCTTCGTTCTGTCATTTTCTCTTTCATCCTACCAAATTCTTTCTCTCTTTCCGTCTGTCTTTCTTTTTACATGTTAACCCTGAGGCCCCGGTTATTGCCGTGTGCCAAAATCAATAGCATTTGCTAGGCAGAGACAAGGCATGAACGGACGGTAAGCAGATAATGCGAAATCTGCTATAAGGCGGACCCACTGGTATGAACTGGAAAGAAAGCAAGATAGACGAAAGATAAAAATGTGTAGCTAACAAAAAATTAAAATATGACAAACGAATGACATAAAACACAAAACCTTGAAAAAAAAATCTCTAGCCAAAGAAAAATAACAGTTTGAGCAAAATTTGAAAATATAGCGTTGACGAAAACGTTTAATATGTTTTGACAATTATTGTTATATTTAAGTCAATTTCGGCTTTATCTCGTACTCAAGAATTTAATTTCTCTTCAGCTGATTGCTTCTTTTATTATAATAGTGTTGATAACTACATTCCACGTCAACGTGCAGGGTCAAGACGAGAAGTTTCCATTTTCACCAACACCTGCTCCAGTCATCCATTCCATATCCTATGTCGAATCTTGCTTGAGCGCGCATATTTTTTCACGAATATTCAGGCCGGTAGATGTTAGTGACTAAATATACTGTTTAATAAATAAATAAAAACAGAACATCTACTCAAATATGAATATCCATTTAAAAGTTACTTTTAAACAAATAGATTAAAAATATGTCGGATTTTATCCATTTCCTTAACAAATTGTCTTTGTCTAGGATAAAAACAGAGCAGATATGTTTATTTCAAGAATCTGGAAGATATGTGTTAAAAAGCACTATTCGGGCATTGTTTGATCATGAAGTACTATGTGTGCTAAGGCACATCAGATCTAATAACGGTTTATCCCAGCAGACACAAGTTCGAATCCTGGCGGAGGAGATATATTTTTCTAAAAAAATTCTAGAATATTCAGTCCGGTAGATGCAAATAACTTAAATATATATATATATATATATATATATATATATATGTGTGTGTGTGTGTGTGTGTGTGTGTGTGTGTGTGTATAGATAGATAGATAAAAATGTATGCTCATATATATTTAGACGTGAAACCGACAGCCAACATACAGTAGTGATGCCTATGTCCAGTATGATTATATCTACAAACTCCCTATTCCTGGTATTGAGCACTTTTCTTCAATAAGTCTTAAACAATATTTTTTATATTAAATATATAACAATATGGCCTACAAATAATGCAAATCATTAGCCGTAAACAGAAAAAAGGAAAATCCCTGCAAAACCTCTTACATTTGTCTCCTCCTGGTAAGCCCCCAGCAGCATATATAGAGAGCCTACTTATATGCAGACTGATTATCGCTTAAGTTGTGAAACTGAGAGTCACTATGCAGTTTTGATTTATATGTTAACATCTATCTGTCTATCTCAACAAACAGCTAGCTAGCTAGATAGATAGATAGACAGACAGACAGAAGCGTGCGCTTTCCAGTTTTCTAAAATGTGGTGACAATAGAAAATAAATTCTGTCAAGTGTGCTGCCCATATCTAATCATAATTAGTAGACTAAACTTAGTAATTTAGTTAATACCATTTAAATTACAATTTGCAGAAGCTCTATTTCAAGATATCTCTTGCTATAGAGCATTCGTACTTCAGCCGATTAGAACAGATGTTACGTTCACTTATGATTCTCTGAGCAAAACGTATGTATGTGTTCCACGAGAGCCTATCCATTCTTTTCAAACCTGTGTTGTCGACTCTCTATCATAGACTAATGAAAATAAAAAGGCAACAAAAATTTACGATAAAACGAAATCATAGTCTAAAATCTGATGATATTTGATTTTTTTATGCTATTGCAATATAATATCTTGTTTTCATGTTTTGCATAGTGCGATATTTGAAAATCGAAACCCGGCCTCCACCCTCAAAGTTTTATTATTTTCAGCTTCCAAATAGATACGATTTCACGTCGGGTGAAACTAAATGGGATCAAGTTTTCAGTTCCTTTTCCAAACTTGCCACCACCAACAATAAAGCTGTGATCTGCAGAGTGAAAACTCCGTTTCATATTGCAATTCTTCTACAACTCTTCCGTTTTGGGTTCGTTCCATGTTTGTTTTTTATCATTTCACTCCAGCAACGTGATAATGCCACTAAGACGCAGTGCTTTACTGAGAGTGAAAGAATCTGAGACAATTTATTATTAATGAAGGAGGACAATAAAAGAGTATGTTTCAAGAATTCAGAAAATGACGATTGACATAGTATTCAAACCATTAAGGATCAAATTTACAGTCTTTGTTTTTCTTCAAAGGATGTTCAACATGTACAATGTCCGAGAACCACTCGAGGTAGTGGGTTACTGAGTAAGAAGCACAGTTTATGAGAATGTGAGAATATAACAGATAACCCTTGTTATGATTCAAATGATCAGGGAAGCATCCCCTTGGAATTCGGTTCCACAAAGCAGCGGTCCGTGGGAAAATGAGTGGGACTGACATCTTACCAATGGAATACGAATGGATTGGTGCTTGTTCGCTACAATATGCGTAGCATGGCGGCTCTAAGCTGTAATGGTTAGAGCCGGTAGAAATAAAGAATATATTTCGTTTCTATAATTTCTATAGAATTAGCGATAGAGCAGAGAAAGGCTTGCGACATTTCATCTGTGAGAAAGAAGTTGTAGGGTGGAAAACCAGATGCGGCAATTGCTTGAGAAGAAACTGTTAACATAAAACTTATAGTGAGTTGGCCAAAATCTTACTTCGGATTATTATGTAAATTTTAAATGTAAATAAGTGAACGAACTTTTTGGCCAACACAATAGATAATCGAAAAATATCAGCTGCAACTGAAATTACATTTGGGGATGCATAAGAAAACATTGTCTGTAAAACATAGAAGTATTAACTGATTGCAGCACCAGTCCAGTAACATTTTCAAGAATCTTTCTCTTTTGTCTATTCAGGGAATTATGGGAACTAAATGCACAAATCCAAAATGAATAGAATCAGGATTTTATATTTTCGAACTGTTTTCTATAAAGAAGTATACATGAACCAAGTCTTAGCAAAATGTGCTATCAAATTGCCTCGAATCAGAGCGACTCAATGGGATTTTTAGAAATGTGGCTGTATCCCTCTTGTCACAAAAGTGGAACAAAATCATCCAAGAAGGCATGTGCAGATTATATAAATGTTATTTCCAACAGGTGAAATTTATCAGTCACTTGTGTCATCAGCAATGTATTAACAAGACGACTCATACCGAGTATGAGAAGGTACATAATCAAGTCAAACAATTAACTCAATTATATTTATTAACAAATGAATAGATTTTTTTAAAATGTGGAGGGAGGAGGGCGATTTTTGATTTTCAGATATCGCACTATACAAAACATGAAAACAAGATATTATATTGCAAAAACATAAAAAATAAAATATCATCAGTTTTTATCCATTTAGACTACGATTTCGTTTTATCTACATGTGGAACAAGGCATAAAGTATTGTGCACTCAGTCGCAATTCTTCTAGCGAGACAAGTTTGCTAACACCACGCTGAGGTGCCCAAAATAATCTTCTAAGCGTAGCTAAGAAATCACATAAGGCCGAAATTGTGGAGCATCTATGGAGGATCGCTCACTCCTCAGTCGTAATTGATCTAGCGAGATAAGATTGCTAACCATTACACCACGTTGAGGTGTCGAAAATAATTTTATAAACGTAGCTAAGGTGTGGTACAAGGCCGAAAGTGTGGGGCACTTACTGAGGATCGAACTCGCTACTCAATCGTAATTTTTCTAGTGAAACAATCTTCTTAACCTTTACACCATGCCGAGGTGCTCAAAAGAATTTTCTAAGCTTAGCTTATTTGTGGCACAAGTCCAAAAGTGTAGAGCGCCCAGTGAAGATCAAACTCACTACTCAGTCGTAATTGTTCTAGCCAGACAAGCTTACTCACCATTGCACTACGTCGAAGTACCCCAGTTGTGATATTTATATATGTATGAACAGTTTGAAAAATATATGAACAATTTGATAGAGAGATATACAGAGACGAAGCATCTGAGATGGACAGATTGACGTCAGCTTCAACAGGTGTCTACACTTTGTGCAGGCATCGTTGTGTTGTTTCCCAACGCAAAGTCTCGGGCAAGTGGCCAAAACACTTTGATCTTTTCCCGACGTTGGTGGTGAGACAAAGAAGCGGAACGAACAAAGATAACATCAGATCAATAATCGACCTTTTTAACCAAATATCTCTCTTTGTAACAGTTAAGTTCTGTGTGGGCACTGAGAATAAATGTCGCTATTTGAACGAATGTTTCATTTTCAGACCGTGACGAAGACAATACTTTTTTTTATTTTCTCGCTAGTGTTTACTTAAGAAACGCAAAAAATAGATTCTTCAAATGGTAGGATGCATAATCACGTCTCTCGCTGATAACTTTCGCTTTCGTCACAGATATAGAATAGGTACTGAGGATAGAAGGAATAAAGTAATGCAATTGTTTTTCTCGCTGCCTTAGTAATCAATATCTAAAATTCTGAAGAGAATTAAAAGTTAAGGTTAGTATCTTATTCATCATAGTATTTGACAAAATAGACTGAACATTCAGTGTACATGAGAGAAGCTAATTTCATCAGCAGGTTGACCAGCGTGGTGATAGATGCATATCTGAGCCTATAATTTTTCAGTGGTTGCACCAACATATAAACAAGTTATCGATCCTAGTGCGACTATGATGTGTACAGGAAGGACAAAACTGTTGACAAGAAGATATACAAGGAAACAACCGAGAAAAGAAAAGTCTCTTACATCTTTGAGAGGATGTAGAACATGACGGCCACTAGCTGAAAATAATTGAAGGAGTTGAATAAACAATGTTGAATGACTTAGTCGCCTCTTTTCGTTTTGCCATGCAACATTAATTTTATTCGTCCTGGGTATGACGATAAATTACATCAGGCAGCAAGGCCTCTGATCGGGAGCGTGGAGGCTTTGAGTAGCATTGAATCACCTTTTAATTTTTGTTGTTCTCAGTTCTACTCTAATCCGGTGGGGTGGGGGGTACCACCTGTTAGGGTCCCAGCTATGGGTCCCTAAAAAGAGCTACCACATAGTTACGCCAAACTAGGGTCAAAACACTATGAAAGTGTTACGGGGCTCTCCCCTTTTTACATAAGATGGACTCGTCCAAAGTATACTTTTACTGACAGAGAGAATACCTGCTGTTGAGATACGTGGAGATACGTTGAGAAATACGGAGACAGACACAGAGTATTCTCAGAGAGTTATACAAGAGTTCAGAGAGAGAGGGAGAGAGAGAGAGAGAGGGAGAGAGAGAGAGAGAGGGAGAGAGAGAGAGAGAGGATTACGGCTTTACTTACAGAGACTATTACATATACTTTCTAGTAACCCGCATTCCTGGACTACTAATCTTCACTTCAAGTCTGTATTCTTACGTTTAATACACTCATTTTTCTATCTCCATTACTAGCGTTGTTTATTTATTTGTGCAGGATTCCATTCACTGAATCCACAACAGGAAGTATAAAAATAGAGTTTTATAGTAAAAATATCAGAAATACCTTTTTGAAAAAATTACGATACATTTAAAAAAATTACCAACAATACACTTTAGAAAATATATTTGACTCTGATGAAACCTAATATAAATACTGATTTCTTACACCGAACACATATTCTATTCATACGAATATATCCTAAAAATCTTGTATGTATTAAATAACCCTATAAGGTGGATATACCGTAAAACAAAATAGAACAAACCAAACAAAATCAAACCATTAACTTTACACAGACACCAATACTTAAATCACTGTTACGTACCAATCAGCTATCTACTCAGCATCACCTCATCTCGTACAAATGCACAATAATTAAGAATCTAGTGAGTTTTGAAGATACTCTAGGAGTAATAGTCTGCAAGATGAAATTAGTAAGCTTTACTCATTTTTAAGTGAAGTGGGTTGAAACTGAAAAGAAAGTCAACTGTATATTCAAAAAATAAACCAGACTTAGAAGTGTGAGTGTTACTTTCATTGCAATTGATAAATTCTTTATTTACTGTTACTTCATCAAATACAAGGCCCAAGAGCCGTTCAAGTTAGAGGTTTACTGACTGAGATTGTAATAAAGGATGGGGAAGAAGTAAGTAATAAGTGTTTATTATGAAGCCGTTTAGGATAGTTTTCGGTTCACCCTGAACTTGAAGATGTTAAGATTGTAGTGGTCATGGTAGCATCCCCTCGGGGGATTGTTCCACAAATTAACAATTCCCGGGAAGAATATCTCTGAGTGGAACTATCCTTACTAAAGTAACAGGAATGGAATGAGGATGATTTGCAATCATGAACCTGACATGGTGGGGTGTCTGAGCCGTGAAGTTCTGAACTGGTGCCATAGTAATAACGATAGAGAAATGAGACGCTTACAGGTTAGAGAATAATTTATCACCCACAAGGCGAAGTAATCGCTTTTGAACTTGGTCAACGCTAGACAGTGACAATGAAGCAGCACCAGCTTAGGCTGGAAAGATTCGATTTATTTCTCTAAATCTTTCTGCTGGAAGTTGCATGAATCCACTTTTACTTAAAAGAATATATATAATTGTGCCAGTAAACATATTCATTTTGATATATTTCTAATCTCATTAGGTGTTGTTCATAGAATTTAAAAGACAAGTTTCCTCATTTTATCAGCACATTTTTCAATATCCTGGTATTTGGAAACTCTTAATTATCCTAGTAATTTGTGTCAATCACAAACAGGCGGTCTCATTTTAACGTATTATCATTCGGAAGTTGCACTTTCTTTCAACCTAAATGTATTTTAAATATGTATGAGTTTATATATTTTAAGACTAGCCAGTGCATTTGTATAAAGATATGCAATGCAAACGACAAATCACAACAACATTTTCTCATATTTTGCTTCATGATCATGTTCGGTGACATGTTGACAGGATGAAACTGCAGAAACTCACCGAATTCGGGTGCAAGACATTGCCACATCTTCCATAATCAACTGATTTCTCGCCCATTAAATATAAGTTTTCAACGATCTTGCCAATTGTTTTTGCCAAATGTCATTTCCTTGCAAAGAAGGTAGAGTAACTGCATTCAAAGATTTCTGGGCGTTCAGACCTTTAGAGTTTTATCGTATATTCAAAAAACTAAATAATCTCACATAGTTGATATTTCCCATCATTGGACAGCATAAGAGGTGAACCTATTCATAAAAAAAAATCGCATTAAAATATTATCAATGTCTTGATTTTTCATTAATTTTAAGTTTCATGCAAAAATTCCATATTATTTAATAATATTTCCCTCGAACTTTAAAAGATGAATTACATAATTTCCGGATGTTGGTAGATATTAGTTTGTTTTAAAATCAGGTTCGTTTTTAGAATCTAACTTTTATTCAGAAATTTTAAATAGTTTAAATGTATTTTAAACAATGCTTAGATTTTTAAGTGTCTAAATCATTCAAAATCGAAATATTTATCAATTTTTGCCAACAAGTTATACGGTTATTTATGCCTATACGATAAAACTCTAAAAGTGTGAACGCCAAGAAATCTTTGAATGCAGTTACCCTACCTACTTTGCAACCAAATGACATTTAGCAAATAAATAAATAAATAAATAAAATATATAAAATAAAAACAATGGCAAGATCATTGAAAACTTATATTTAGTGGACTAGAAATCAGTGGATTATGGAGGATGTGACAATGTCTCGCAACCGAAGTCGGTGAGCTTCTACAGGTTCATCCTGTCAACATGTCACCGATCATGGTCATGAAGCAAAATTGGACATCGTCATTTAAGCAGCGACTGCCACATTTTGCTTAAATGAACGTGAAAGTTCGGCAGTGATACTCTGGCTATATTTCAAAAAGATGTAATGTTTAACACAAATAGCGGACCACTAGACAGTTACCATAATTTTCTGTTTGTGCATTTTCGGTTTTGAGACTTATTTGGGTCATTCATCGTGATCAAGGCATTGATCCGATTGTTTACGATTGTCATAAAGGATCCATTTCCTATCAAAAATCACTATTCCATAAAAAAAATATGGATTATTCGAATATAGCAGATGCAGCATCGGACACAATCCAAAATGTCTAACTCTTTGACTTCCACTGAGTACATGTGGAAACCATTTATCGAATTTCTTCACTCTGCCAATTTTCTTGAGATTGTCTTATATTGGCAAAAAGCTGACACCCATTATCTGAGACATTTTTCTGACAATTTTATGTGAGTTTTGTTTGACTATTGTTTCAAAAGTTGATTGTTAATTACAGATCGACGTTTTCTAACACCTAGAAATTCAAAACTCATATCCCCACTGCGGAACTTCAGAAACAATGCTGTCCTGTCCAATTATATATGGATATGTCACTTCACACTCTGGTAATGTTGGCATCTGTTTGTGTCGAATAACTAAGCTTGGTCTCAAGCAAAGAATAAAAATATTTCTTCTTTTATCATCTTAAAGATGAGGTGTATATAATGTTTTCATTTACATCCTGAAAAACGTTGATATAAATTTAGCAATATGTTCACTTTAATCCTTCGAAATGAGTAATATATTTTCGTGTAACTATTATAATATATTAGAAAACAAAAGGTTTATTTTAAATCGCACATTATTTTTCGAATAAACTAATATTAGCGAAAAGACAATTTTGATCAAAGTATTTTTGTGATACACTCGTGGTGATTCTTGCTGTTATTAAATTAATGTTTACTTTGTTAAAACCAAGCTAAACAAAAAAACTCTGCCTCTCTCTCGGTCTCCGGCTCTCTATGTGACATATCTCTTCGAGACTTGGCAGATCACGACACTCCTTAGTTTTGTCATTTGCTGTTATATATGGTATTGACTTCGTTCCGATTTATTTTGTCATTATTTATTCCACCATCCATGTGTACAAACATCTAGTTCTGGAACTACCACCTAAACAACAAATTCTGCAAAATTAAATTCATTCAATGAGTAAGGCATTATGGTCTCAGACTTTCTCAAAATAAAGAAATCGTCGTATCAAGGAACAGAAAATGGCATAATTATATCACTAACTTATTTCTACTATTGAATATTCTATTTGTTAAATAATAGTTTAGTAAACTGTTACATTTAGGAGGAAGTGTATCGCTTTTATTGGTTGAGTCAGCGTGAGAACGATCTTGAGAGAAAGGGTTTTCAAAGAGTCGTCTAAACAGTCAAACTATGTAGACGTGTTTTCTTTCTTGTCTGAAAGGTCTTCCCAGTGGAGTGAGAGCAATCCCCCTAGATATGTAGAAATATATACTTTGACGTTAATAAAATAGCTAAGTTAAAATTTCCTGTGTTGAGGTTCTTTTATCTCTGGACTCAAAACAACTAGGGATCACCGGTCAGGAGAAGACGAGCGAGAGAAGAATACAACTTTATTATCGAATAGGGACTTCACCAGCACGAGGGGACCATATAACATAGACATAATTCGCGCAGTGACCAGGACCTGGCAACAAGGGGTTGTTGAGAATGATGGTAAAAACACAACGTACAAAATTCGAAGAAAATTTTCAGATGCGAACTCAAAAAGGGAATAAAATGATAATATAAATAACAGAAAAATACAAACTGTACTTACGATGAAATTGGTATATTCTAGCACTCACACACACACCTCTAAGCAACAAACCAAAATAGGAAGTAATGATGAAAAAAATAATGAAAAAGAAAGTAAAAACAGTAAGCGAACAGGTTTTAACAGACAGAAAAAAGGACGAGTATTAAAAAGAAAGAAAGAGGGGGACACAGTGAACACCCACACTCACACATACACACTAGTGCGACAATGTCATTTTGATGAAACATTTTATGGAGGGATTCATTTTTGTTGTTTTGTTTTAAATCCAAGTGCGAAATCTATTGTTGATTTTGATTGGCACACAGTAATGTTGTATATTTGGCAAGTTTTTTAATATTATTATTATTTTGTTGTGGAAAAATCTGGCCGCGAAAGTATCACCTTTAGAAACAAAATTTCTGGAGAAGGAAATTTGACCAGTAAATAAATTTTCCTGATGTTGACCTAAGAGGAAGTTCAATGATGGTCACGTGTAGGTCTGAATTCGCCTATGTGAATGCAATGGACAATTGTTTTGAAAAGAAAAGACTGACGGCATTTTGTGATGTGGCAGTTCCACTGTGATTTCTGTGTACTCTTTACGAACTGAAATATATTTGTGACTCTGGTTTTGCGTGCATTCAGTGTTTTAAGTTTAGAATTATTTTGTTAATCATAATTAACTGACAAATGATTGTTTTGTTCATTTCATAACATTGTGGATTTTTTAATTTAAGAATCGCATTTGTGTCCTTTTGCCTGCATTGCTTAAAAAATTAAGTTCTTAATTAGTGAATTTTGAGAGTTAATTATTTGTAGAAAAACTAAGTTAATTAATTACTTGTGGGATTATATAGATTAGGTTTCCATGCTTTTGGATTTATAAATATTTAGGTGACAACACGTGAGTTAGTTATGAAATTGGTTGACGCTGTGGCGTGGGACATGTATTTTGTGATTTTTGGACAAGTATTTTTTCTGTGAATTTTATGTTCATTTCGTGTCGTCTCAAGTGAAGAACCAAGAAATTTTGCTCTCCACATGATTATTGGATTGCAGAGGTGATACCTGCTGACCTGAATTGAGTTATCATTGGAATAATCATCGTTTACTCTTGGAGTGATTCATATCCAGATTGTTGTCTGCGGCATTGACCTTGGGTCACGGAAGCTAGTGACCAAGAATGGACAACACATTGTCCGGGATTTTTTTTAATAAATTTTTGTGAAGCGTGGCCAGAATTTTGTTGTTTATATTCATTCTATTTCAGGAATGGTATATGTCCATGCTAGAGGGGTCATGTGACCGAGGCTCAATAAAGAAAAGATGAAAGGAGTACAGCTTGGAGAAACAAAAGTATAGTATGAATTTTAGAGTAATATAGTTCAAATAAAATTCATAATGATTTCTTAATGTTTACTTAAGTTATGTTAAATAATATTTTAGCAGACTATTATTTTTAGGGGAAGCGTATCGCTACACAGACTTCCTGAGATCGACCTTTGAGTTCAGATGGAAGTGAAAACAAGGAAGCCAATTTTGATTGACTGAACCAGCGTGAGAACGATAGATAAAGAAATGGTTTTCAGGGAGTCGAGTCTAAATCGCCAAACAGTGTAGACACGTTTTCTTTCGTGTTTGAAACGTCTCACAAGTGTAGGTAGAGCAAACCCACTGGATAAGTAGAAATGTATACTTTGACGTTAATAAAATAGCTAAGTTAAAATTCCCTGTGTTGAAGTTATTTTATGTCTGAACTCAAAACATCTAGCGATCATGAGCCGTGAAATAAGAATCGAACATTATCATCGAGCGATCACCGTCTCCCAAGTCCACCCTCACAATGTGGCTATGCAACACGTTGTAAGCACAGCAAATCAACAGTAATATAATGTAAAAATATTCTAATCTATTGTAGTGACTTTGCATATATACATGAAGAATCTTATGAAACGAATTATCCAGAGGAACTTTTCCAGAACACAAAAGTAGAGATTATCCTAGCCTACTTGAAGGAGGTTGGTGTATACCTCAAATTGTTGTCTTAATAACTCTTTTCTAGAGGAATAGCTAACCATTTATAGAACCTACGCTCCAAAGGATTGTTGTTAAGCCATATATTTTAAAAATATCTTTTCGGGATAAATAACCCAAAAAGTTGATATCTTTTAATCGGTTTCACCCCAAGCAAGACAGTAAACCCACCGACGCACACGTGTTTACTGGGTGTGGAACAGTTAGCAACAGATACGTTGCTAAGGAGAAAGAACAAAAGAAGAGTAATCAGGAGGGCGATTAACATCGCATTTAAATTTTTGAAGATCAAAGTTAACTGAGAAGCAAGAAACCGGAAGTGAATTTCATAAGCGAGAAGTGCAATAGGAGAAAATGTTAGCCTAGTATTTATGGTTATATCTAGCCATTTCAAATGTAAAAGGGTGACACCATTCTGCCAACCTAGTAGTGCACTGAAATTCATAAAGTCTAGGTATCATAAGGAAAAGTTCATCCGAACAATTATCATGAAGGTATTTATGGAAAAGGCACAGGGAGGCAACCTTACAGCGGTGGGAAAGTGAATGAAGCCGAATCGCCAGAACAGGGCCAGTAATATGCGGTTAAAATTAATCAATCAGCAAACTTATCCATAAATAAAAATGAGTGTTAGTATTAGACCCCCCCACACACACACAATCCTATCTCTGCCAGAAATAATAATTGAAAATTACTGCCGCAACTATTCTGGTACTTCTGCTATAGATTGAAAGATTCTTGATAAAATCCAACGAAGACTCTTTAATCTTGTTGGTCCTAACCTGGCATCTCGGCTTCAATCACTTTCCCACCACCGTACCGTAGATTCATTGTGCCTTTTCTATAAATATTCTCATAGTAATTCTTTTGATGAAATTACCTCTACCGGGCTTTCATTTTTAAAAGTTGTTGTTATTGCCTCCCACCAGACTAATTATACATATGCGAACTTGTTAGGACTACATAGAGACTTTGAGGTATCATGGTGGCTATAGTAAGAGTTGTAAATAAGAATGTGTTATTTTGATGTAATACCATGGTATGTTTGTGTCAGTAATCGCGGCAAGCTAAGTTTAAGATAAGACCAACCTTTCCCTATCCTATATTTTGGCATTGTACAACATTTGGTATTTTTCAAAATAAATATTACTTTCCTCTGTGTTACCTAGACTTTATGAATTTAAGCACAGTACTAGATTGACGGCAAGGTCTCATCATTTTACTATAAAAATGATTACCTAAGATCTAAGTTAATTTTCACACATTTCGCTTGAAGTACTCCCTTTCGGCTTTTTGCTTAATAGTCATCTTTGATCTTCAAGAATGGTAATGCAATGGCAAATGTTATCTTCTGTATCCATATTCTTTTATTGTTCTCCCTCATTTTCTCATATTCTCTCACACACACCCCTTTATTATTTCGTGGCAACCACAGTCTTTTTCACTTTCTATGGACATAAACAATACATTTCAAGTCACACGGAGTCAATTTCGGGAATAAACAATTCATAAAGTTTATTTAGTTTACTTTAAATCCAATATATCGACCCCTAGAAAAATATCTGTATAGAGTTTAGCTAAGACTTGATTGAGCCTTCATTTTTACATTGCGTTGTTGCTTGTTTAACTTTACAACACTGCCTGATTGACGAATGTGTCATTGTATTGAAATATTGCCCAAATTAAATCATTGAATTAAATCATGGATCAAATATTGACAGAGCTAATCAGTTGTGGGTGCCAAACCCTTGGGAATGGTATCTCGTACGTGTAAGGTGTGAAAGATTTGTGCACATCCCAACGGATCTTCATTGAAACAATTATTCGAGCAACAGGCAGTCACACAAAATATATAAACGTGCATTATTTTCTTGAAATCAACATTATAGAATACATGTTGGTTGGTTGATGTTCTTGGTGCTTTTGTTTAGCGGTATATCAACTTCTATGGGTTTATTTAATGTTGAAATCTACTTATTTTGTAAGTAATTTTGTTTTCAACTACAGATATTTTGCATACAATTATTTTCAGGGTACAGTTCCGTTTATTTAGGTACATAGTTTGTAGATCATAAATGCATATAATGTTTTTAAATCATGCATATGTAATTTTACTATAAAAATGAATTTTTATATATTTTCATATTGCACTAATTCTCGTTTTGCTGTAAAAATATTGTTGTTAATTTTATTATAAAAATGTACAGTAGATTTTTATTTGGGTGTTCACTAGTTGCCCATAACTGGGACCCTAACAGGTGCTACCACCCTGGGCTAAGGTGGAACTAGGATCAACAAAAATTAAGAGGTGCTTCCCCAAAACATTCAACAAAACATTGCCGGATGTAGTTTCTTCGTCATACCCAAGACGATATAATATATTTTTATTACATATGTTTTTCGGTTTTATACACATCTGTTTTCGTTTATATGAAGTGACAGAAGAATTTTGCACGACTATTTTGGGGGTTATCTGGCTAAAAATATGATAACTGGGTGTGAAAACGACACCAATATGGCCATAGTCTTCTGTAGACAGCACAATAAACATCAACTTATAACATGCAATTGTCAGACATTTAAATACTTTAAAATTTAAATACTTTAAAAGTTTTCGAGTACGCCTGTCTGGCAATCCCTGTTACAAACGCCTGTTAATGTACATTTCCGTTTGTTAAATACCCACAGAGCCTACCTGAGTTTTATACTGCGAATATACTGATCTGCAATATACTGAACAGACCATAATTACAGACTATCTTATGTTAAATACAATCTTCAGGTTACCTGAAGATTGCGTTTAGCATAAAACAGTCTGTCGCATCTGAATGTTGGCTTCAAATTCACTTTTATATCGATACATACGCTCTATATCTGACTGCGACCCTGTATATAAATATCATTTTATATAATTATCTAACTTTCTTCACATGCATATATTTTTTCTTAATGAACTATAATATTAACACATCAGTGTGTTATAAAAACAAATATTGAAACCTTAGATACAAAGCAATACTGAATGATCGTTGCAACGAGCGTTGCGAAACAACCCCATGATTCGTCCAAGGCAAAAGCAATATGTGCCCAGGCAAGAATTCTACTGATTTCTTTCGCAGTGGACTTGATGCCCTCGGGAACATAGCTGAGAGGAAAGTTTTCGATTACTGGTGAGGTGGCTACTTCGTCGCCGCCGGGCTGGATTGTCATGTGAATGCAAACTGTTGAGGTTTTCGAGTGAATGGCTGTTAACAGAAACGAGCGGGTGGCAAAGTGATGACGAGTGGAAATATGCTGGTCTTGGAGAAAATTCACAGAAGACCAAAATTACAAAATCAGAAATGTGAAAGAACAATATGCAGACATATTTCATGCGGTTCCATATCTTCCGACGTGACAAGCTTCAATTCTATCAGTTTCTCTCTCTCTCTCTCTCTCTCTCTCTCTTCTTGTCTTTATTTCACTGTCTCTCTTTTAACACTGCACTCTTTTTTGTCGATCACTCCATTCTTATTGGCATTTAGTGAAACGCTTCCAAATGGACACGAGCAACAATGGCTCTCTAATTTGTTTATTCACTCGTCTTATTTCTCTTGTTTTTATCATATATCTCAGGTCAGATGAAGTACGAGTTCCGATATTGTAGAAAGCGCATGATTTATTTCCGATACATGCTACTTAACCATCGTGAATCTAAATATGGCCTCAGGTTGATTCATTAATTTGTTTTTAACATCATATCAACTTATGGGTCATTTAATGAAGAAATTTAAATGTCCTGTGAGTTTTGAATAAAATATGATATATGTTATCCTGCTTTCACAGTTGAATACATGGTAAATTATACTCAGCTTTTGTCTATATACATGTTTACGTGGACATGATTACTAGGGGCTGTGATATGCGTGTTTTAAGTTTTGTTGACTCCAATATGAACCTAAAAAAGAAATTTAGCGTAGGTTTGGACACCTGATTGGTTAATCAGGATAAGTCAACAAACTTCATTTTAATTCTGATCTTGTTTTCTTCTCTTCTCTTTCGTAAAAAGAGGGAGTATTTTGCTTTTGAAATTATAAATAATCATTTATTCACCTGTTATTTACCATTGCCTGAAGAGGCACAGCTTAGTGCCGAAAAATGAAAGCTATTGTGTAGCGATTCTTAATATGTTTTTGTTTTAACCTCCTATAATAAATAATATTTAGCTCTACTTTGTATTGAACCCTCTACGGACAGTGAAATTATACTTTATCTGTTCCTATCTTATATATATATATATATATATATATATATATATATATATATATGTGTGTGTGTGTGTGTGTGTGTGTGTGTGTTCTATAACAAAAAAAATGTTAACTAGTGTGTATTTGCTTTTATTTTGAAAAAAGAACACTTAACTATACAAAAATTATCATACAACAGCATCATCATTTGTTTTCCTCAAATAAAACCACCACCTACTTTAATTAATGCTCTACAAATTCTTCCTATTCTTTCCAACAGTTTCTAAAATAAAGCAGATGGCAGAATTTCCAAAGCTTTGTTTAAGTACTGAAAAAGCAAATTCTCACATTTTGGGTATTTTTTCGGACTTTCCTATATAATTCATCTCATACTTATTCAATGTGAGAGAAGTCAGGAGATTGATGCGGTGAAAACATAATTTCCATGATGTTTTTTTTTATTGATTCGAGTTAATTTTGACATTTTGAATAAATAATTAAATAAATAAATAAAATAAAACAAAATTCTCTAAACACTTAACGACATGTTATGGAGCCAAATGCTATCTTTCGCTGAGACTGACCAAACGATATGCGCACATGAATGCCATCATTCGCTTTGATATGGATACCTCCACACTACCTCGGCTTGACCTCTATCCGAAGGTGACTGATATGGGGAATAAAAATTAACTCTTAGGCCCCTTACCAAAATGGTCGCCCCAGCTGTTTCCATAGAAATTAATTTTGAGAATGAACATGCTTATGAAGATGCGTAAATTTCAAGATAGGTTATTCCTTAAATTTTCGCTTGAGGATGAAACAGGGATTGATACCTTAATTCAATTTAATTTTAATAATTATATTGATGTGTTCGGCTTTCGTTTTTGAAACATGAAAACTCTTATGTAGCGAAGGAATCATATGTTCCAAAAAATAATTATAACATATATATATATATATATATATATATATATATATATATATATACACACAATAAAGTAATGTTTTTATATACTTCACGCAGCTAAAAATATATAGAAAAAATAAGCTAAAAAGCTAAAAATGCAACAAGAGTCTTTACGAATATTTGAGTAAATTTACCAATTCAAATGTTAAATTGAACTGTTTCGCATCTTAATGCCAATTTAAAATTTGAACAGCATAGAACCGAGAAACCATAAACTTACTCTGAATAAATACTGTTAATGACTCCAGGTGCATTTTCAACTTAGATTTCATATATATATATATATATATATATATATATATATATATATATATATATATATATATATATTTTATACGAAAATTATAACATAGATTTTAATAAAATCACTACAAAAATAGCCATTTTGTTTCAACACTTCTGGTGTCTTATCAAGTGATGGTGTTGAATGTAGAATAAAGATTATTAAAAGGTTCAAATCAATCAAACATCCCTCGATAATGGAAACGCTGTTATATATATATATATTACTGAAATCTTGCAATATATATATATATATATATATATATATATATATATATGCATATCCACAGTTAAACATTTAGTGCATCTACGCTTCTAACCCGGAGACGTCTGTTTTTAAAAAGCATATTTACTGGATTTATTCAGGAGACTTTAATAAAGAATACTTAACCAATTCTTGTAGACCATTGTTCCAGTTTATAATAATATTCATATAAAAAATCAGCTGTATATTTGCATTAATATCCTTCAGGTTTAAAATATTATTTTAATGTTTTACTCAAATATTAACATTTTTTTAATCACAAATACAGAATTTTAACAAGATTACGCCTTCATATGTTTAAGTATTTCCTCACAATAATTTTATCTAAATTTATTCAGAATATCTAGCAGATCTCCTGCAGTTTCTATTTTTGTTTTTAACTATGTCACAGAAGGTAGTGTAAGAATCTGCATATTGTCCGTGGCTGATTTAAGAATTAGTGCAAATTATAGACATTTTCGCCTTAATAAACTATTATTTGTTTTAATTAAATTAACATTTTCTTAACTCGAAAAAGTATGATCAGATGCATTATGGTGAGCGACTAATGCATTGTGTGTGCTGTTTTCTTAAAGATCTCTTTATGTTCCTCTCCTGTTTTAATTAAACCTCGTGAGTTCTCTACTGTACATCCGTTGTTTCAGTTATCACACGCTATATAGTAAATTCATTCATCAGGTCCCAAGTTTTTATTATTTGTTTTGTATTTTTTTTATTTTACGATACAGTAGTTGATGTTAATCTTAGATAATTTTTTTTCAATTAGAATTCTGATAGAGCTGGTAGGTAATGTTATATATCTCTTTTCGTTATTTTTTGGTATCGTTTATTCTTTTATTTGGAAGAATTTGATGGGCTTTCTATTTCGCGTTGAATGTGAAATAATTAGTGTGAAATCCCTCTAGAGAACAAAACGCGTTACACAGAATTTTCCCACTTTGTCATTAAATTACCTAACATGCACACACACACACACACACACACACACACACACATATATATATATATATATATATATATATATATATATATATATATATAACGAGTATAACATACTCTTTATTTGAAAGAAATGCTTCAAACTAGAAGATCGGGTGGAAACATTGATCTGCTAAAGGGCAGATAACTCAATTCACAAAATTCATTGTGCAAGGAGGTAAGTGGTCGCCAAAGAATAACGCAAATACTTTAAAATTTTCGTAGATTGCAATTCGTTCTAACCTACGGGCGGGTATCTAAGCTTTACGCTATATTTCCACCTTCTCTCACCAATGAAATAAGGTCAGAAAATGAATTTTATCGTCAATATTGAATAGACAAAGTGAAGCCTTTTGTTTTTGTTCGCCCTAAAGACAAGCCATTTGTATGGTCCACTCCCCCATTAGAGACAGATGGGATTATCGAAGATCGATAGCCGACCATAAGCCAAAAACATATTTCCCATAATGCATTGATATGCATATAGAAAACGTTCTAATTGTTTAGATGTACACATGAACGTTTGAGTGCTAACAGCTGTTGGGAGACAATCATTGTGTGGTTTCTTTCAGAGAACATCAAACTTTCTTTTTGCTTCGCTTTAAATAATTTTCAAACCTGGAAGGCAATAGAACATCGTAAAAGAGAATCCAATAAAATATTAATAAAGTTGGAAGAATCCCAGTGGAAACGCACAGAGAAAATATATACGTCTCTCTGAAGGAACATGTAATGTATGTCATATTATAAATATACAAGCCAATCACATGTTTATTTATCTTTTAAAAATACATTCTTAAATCTTGAAAAGATTTACCAAAATGTGCTGACTAATACTAATTTTAATTTGAATGCATTGACTTATATAATAAAATATGCAATATTGTATATTTGATTTCACAAAACTGTGACATGTATTTTTTATTACTTCAAACGTTATTATGATGAATACTCGTATTTGAAATAGACGCTGTATTTTTATTTTAATCTGTGTGTATTATGGCTATCGGCCTGGGCGTTCGATAAATCCTAATAAAGAAATCATTGCTCTCTAGCAGGGATCGAACATGCGTCCACCTTTGTAGGAGAAATCACCTTTTCAACTGGGATGCTTTATCACTCGGCCACATACAACGTCAAGTGTTCAGCAAGCATATATTTTCCCTTTTCAGGAAAGCACACTTCTTCATTGAAAGCCCATATCTACTCAGTTTCGTATCCGAAACATAAACAAAGAAAATTTCTAAAGAATTAATGGATTTATTTGTATTTATTTTATTGCTTTAAAATGTATTATCGCCGATAACTATATTTGAAAGTGACATTTCATCGTATTCGAAAAATTTGAATAAAACATGCTCTTCGGAAGGGATCGAATTCGCAGACCGATTGATGTGATAGATATTGTTCAAAATAAAAATGTCGCATCGATTTCAAATAATACTAATAACGTTTGAAGTAATAAAATTGTCGTATTAAAAATCTCTAA